TTATCAAGCGAAAGATTGAAGGAACAACAGCAACAAAAAGAAATACTGATACAAACAAAGACATGGTATGACCAGATAGAGAATACTAGAAAAATAGTACACATAGTTCAAGCAAGACAGTAGTTAATTTTTCTTTAACTTCATTTTATTTCACTATGATCATCCTGGTGACTATTCTTTTAGTTGTTTTATCCCACTTGCTGAATTATTGTTTTTATTTTGTATTTGTTATTTAATATTGTGTTTTTCAGGATCCACCAATCAATCAAGAACAACCATTGGAGAGAGATTGGCCTCCTCATATCAACTGGTTAAGAGCTCGATTGGAGGAGTATCATGTCCGAGTGGCTCAACTGACAGCTGAGGCGAATGAAATATTCGCTCGAGCGGACGCACCGGGGGCTCCATTTGAGGCTAAAGTGGATGCAGTGGTGGCAGCGGAGGCTCTAGCGGATGCAAAGGAGGCTCGGGCGAACACAGCGGGAGCTCTGGCGAATGCAATGGAGGCTTGGTTGGATGAAATGGAGGCTTGGGCTGATGAATCGGAAGTGAGTCCGGCAGCACGGCTAGGTGGATGAAGATCGGTGATTGTTGGAATTGGTACGATACAGATCAGTATTGCAAATAAATGATTATGAGTGTGATACTTCTCCAGCTCTTGTATGTTTTCTTGTTTTGTTCAAATAAAATATCATTGAAATCATTATTTGTTCAACTGTTTAAACAAAATTAACGAAATATAGAGACTATAGAGCACAAATGACTCTTGTGGAAAAAAAAGTAATCTGATAGTTCTTTTTCGATCAACAACGTTCCAACAAAATTTGTGCCATGTCTTATAACACATCAGACATCATTGTATCAGTGGCGTATCCAGGATTTGGGCGGTGCTATGGCAATGCCTTATAAAATTTTTCAAACCAACCTAGGGGAACACAGCACTTTTTTGCCTAAATGGAGCACTAAAAATCCATTTTTTCGATTTTTTAATAAAAAGCAACAAATGTTTTTTTAAAGTAGGGGGCGTCATCCCCTACCCCAATCTCTCCGATCGGTATCCCCTGAGGTTTTTCTATGCTTTTTCTATCATTAGCAGAGGTTAAGCTTATATTCAAAGTTTCGTGTGAAAGAGAATCTGTTGTAGTACGTGGAATTGCATACGTCAACCCACGATTCTTCACATTGTATGAGTTAAAAAACGACCGAATTGTACCACTTATTGATTCTTTTGAAGATTTGTGCATTTTTAAACTATGAATTTTGATTTATAAACACTATTTCTGAAACGTTATTTTCGCTTCTTTACTTGATTTTTATACGAAGTGAATGAAAAAATAAGGTTTCGATTATCCAATAGTAGTGGATTCTATTCAGCTATGAAGTTGTCTATACTATTCTTAAGATATAACTAATTATCGGAAATTTAGTCTTATACAACTTCCACAACAATATAATGAAAAACTAATAGATTTAACAAGAAATTTTCCTCGGTGGTATAGCAGTGCCAGGCCATGCCAGATCTTGCGTACGCCACTACTTAAATGGTAACAGAAAGTGTGCGATCTTCTAGAGAAACTATACGAATTATGGATATCGTCTATAATTTTAAATATTCTGTCTTTTAATATGTATACTTAGTCTTGCAACCAGATCTAGTTAATGATTTACAAGTTACGATTCGTTGCAATATTACTATCTTCTTCTTTGCCGCGAGCTTAGACAAGCCTAGTTGTAGTTTATGAATTTGAATTCAGATACCGATTATCAAATATTTAGAAAATAAAGAGAAAATAACGAAAGAACAGAAAAGATAAATAATAACTGGAATAATACATATGAATAAAAAGCGAGAGTAAAATAATAGGACGAAAAAAACTAACAAGAAAAATAGATAATAGATAAAAGACTAGTTCTGACTGAGTTGCAGTCGAGAAACCTCGAATCGATTTCCCCAAGCCACATGAGAACGATCCCTTGATCTTTTTCTTCGTTACCGATTGTTGCTAAAAGTAGATAGAGCAATTTTATAAAATGAGACTGGGGCAAATCGCTTACTTTCCACCTTCATGATTTAATCTTCCTGATCGTTTTCATCATTATCTGGTATCACCACCGTCTTCCCTTTGTGCAAGATGTAGTTGGCTCTCTGTAACTCGAATCTACAGCATGGATGTTTACGTGCGCGCTGATTTTCTTCAAGAGAAAGGAGTTGTTCGACGAACTGCTTTGACGATAGTATTTTGATCAACATCCTCTCCGCTGGGAGGTACACCCCGATGTTGTCCCTGCCTTCAATCGCATCCTCGATGGCCGTCTCCACCGAATCTGTATCGTACACGATGATGTGTATGAAACCTTGAGTAATACTCATCAATATCTTTACCAGATCTTTTGAAGCTGCAATATGTTCTGGTATTTGACGATGTCGAGGAAATCCGACCGCTCTGTAGCACTTAGATTACCATACTGTCGCTTTATCTGTTTCTTGACGTACTTCCGATGTTGCTTCATGATAGGACGCTGTTGAGCACCTATAAATAAAAACAAAAGAATATATATCGAAGCTTCTTATTTTTTGAAGCTTTTCAGACAAGAAGTACCACTTACCTTGAACTTCAAACACGATGGTCGACGGTTTCTCTTGTCCCATACATCAACTTCGACGAGAAGATCAGCTCGCATACCGAGCTCTGACTGGCCATCGGCCTTTTGATACAAACCGTGCTTTAGGTAATTAAATTCCGCCTTGAATCTGAACTTATACATGCCAAGAGTCTTGAACACCGTACTATAAACTTCCATGGCCAACTGCGATGTTCCCCTCGGGATCAGTTTGAGAAGAGGTATGTCTCCGTACATTTCTTCCCACCTCCGTTGCTTATCCTGGGTTTTCTCCTGGTACCGCTGACGATTATAGACACGCCTCTTTTCCATATATTCTTCATTGAATTTCCGAACGGTGTGATAATATTTCTTCTTATTTTTCTGGTAGTTTTTGCTCTGTCTGTGCATGATATACAGACACCGACCGCAACGTGCTGCGGGCTTCGTAGTGGGCTGTCCATTCACCATTCTCATAACCTCTGCTGGATGACCCATGCAGTCACGGGTTAAGCAGAGCTCGGGGTCCTTCCCATCCTCCTGCAATAGATATTAGAAAGCATACTTAGGAAAGCAACAAGAAAAGAGCAAAGCCTACTAGTTTAGCTTTCGGTCGCCTTGGCTGCATCTCTCCACGTGCCTTCTTTTCCTTGTTTTGAGCATGCTGACATATATCACAAAGTGTTTTCCCTATTCGTGGATAACGTTCACACTGCTTCCCATCAATCAAACTGGTACATTTAGGACGATCAACCTAGAAACATCAAAGCAGTTATCAATATAAGTCAATATAACTAAATCTAAAGATAAACTTACAAGTTCCTCCTCTTTTTTTTTCCAAAATACGCTGAGCAATCCTTGCAGCGTGGGCCACGTTGCCCATTGCTACGCTTGTTGCACTGATAGTTGTTTGAAGGACAACCAGGACATAGTTGACGCTCAGCTTAGAGACATCAAAGCGGTCATCAATATAAGTCAATATAAATAAATCTAAAGATACATTTATAAGTTCCGCGTCTTTTATTCTTCCAAATTCCGTTGCGCAATCCGTGCACCGTGG